CAGCGCTGCTGATGCCTGAACGGTATGTGGAATGAAGTGGGCGGGCATCGGGAGGCCACTATGGCACGGGGCAAGCACTATGGGCAGTCTATCTGAAGTGTACCTGGCGTATAAGACGACCCCCCACTTGGAGGCATATTTTTCAGGGCCAAAAAATCGTCTTATACGCCGGCAAATACGGTAGATTTTTTCCAGCTCTTTATTACTAATATCTTCAAACATGGGAAAAGTTTAAAAGAATAGTCTCAATGAACATCTGTGTATACATTACTTGGGTTCATTGCTGACATTGTTAATATTTTTTGCCATTCTTGTTTTATATCAAAATATGTGTGTTTAGAGGGGAAAGCCTTTTAGCAGTGGTGTTGGTTACTGGAGAAGTATCTGGGGCCCATCTAGAGGCAGATATCTGGCATTCCCAAATAAATATGACTCAAAAAACCCTGTGTCAGGAATGGAACCAGTTAGAGGTGTTCCTTAGGTTTCTGAAACTGTTGAGATGGTTTTGGCTTCAAGTAACACTACACCTATTTAAAGGGGCTTAAAACAATAAAATTATAATAGGTAAGAGAAATGAAAGTAACACCATTGGCTTTGATTGGTCAGGATTCATCCCTTTTGATTAAAGAGGAGTTTACCTTCCCTGAGTACTTTGCCCCTCTCACCCTCCCGAGCCTGATCAAAATCTGGGTTCTTTGGGTTGACGACAAGGATGAGAAAGAAATGGCAGCTGGGTAGATGCTCTGGAGCCTGTGTCACAGCTCCTGTTTCTGCTTTGGCTGTAGTGAGATATACCATAGTTTATTCAGGTCAGTGTTTCCTGCATTATGTTAGAAATTTAAAACAGAAGAAGGCACACCTGAAGAAAACTTACTTTGATTATTTTTCATATCTTTTAGTAGAGTTTCTGTTTGCTCTATTGGGGTATGTCTGTGTTCACTTTAAATATAGGCAGATCTCTAAGTAGGTTTATTTGAATGAATAGTGCTATTATAGGGAAACATTCATAACCAATGTTTTAAAAAAACATTAGAAATTTTAAAAATTAAAATATAAAGTAATTAAAAGCTAACTTTCCTGTCTTGGAAGTACAAAGCACCTCTTAGTAAAGGACTATTTAGAGGGTCACAGTAAGCCTCATGGATGAGGAAATGTTAGAAGAGGAATCAAAATGTTACTCAGGTGAAATCTTTCCTCTCCCATAGGTTGAATTCTTCTGTCAACTTTATAAACCAGAAATTGTGATCAATGAGCTAGATGTGCAAGTGGGTCGAGTGCGGCTTCTACGGAAACAAAGTGAGGCTGTTCACATACAGAGGTAAATAGCGTTCCTACATATACGAGAACTGTGGAGTTAGGAACTTGATAGAAGGTCTAGTTCAGCCCCTTTGACTAAACATGTATCTGAACTGTGATCGCTCCACTGAATAGGATGGTAAGGTGTTTTCCCAAAGTATGTTCTATGGAACTCGATGAATTTTGGGGGAAGACTATTCAACCCACTACAACTAGTAACTATTACTATCCACGTTTTACAGGTGAGGAAACTGAGGCTAAGAGAAGTTAAGTAATTTGCTTAGAGATAACGTACCCAGTATATTGTCTTATCTTATTGGTGTTCTGAATTGCCAGAGCCTGGTAAAGTGCCACATGTGTACTCAGTGTTTGTAGAACGAATGAGTTTTGCATTTCATATGTTGTAAGGATATCTGTTACAGCAGTGGTCGGCAAACTGTGGCTTGCGAGCCACATGCGGCTCTTTGGCCCCTTGAGTGTGGCTCTTCCACAAAATACCACGTGTGGGAGTGCACGTACAGTGCAATTGAAACTTCGTGGCCCATGTGCAGAAGTTGGTATTTTGTGGAAGAGCCACACTCAAGGGGCCAAAGAGCCGTATGTGGCTCGTGAGCCGCAGTTTGCCGACCACTGTTTAGAGCATGAAGACTGTTACTCTCAGTTGTCTTCTCATTCTTATTTGTTGAATCTAGAAAATCTGGCTCTTCAAAAGCTTGTAGCCTGCTTTTCTTAACTGCTTGCTTACTTTCCCCTTCTCAGGGAGAAGTTTACTTTTGCTGCTACGAGGCCATCCTCTGTTCTTATTGAGCAGCTTGCTGTGTGTGTGAGCAAAGGAGAACCAGTATTGCTGGTAGGAGAGACCGGGACTGGCAAAACCTCTACTGTACAGTATTTGGCTCACATTACAGGTAACTCCTAGGGGCAAGGATTCTGCCCCCAGAAAAATACACATTTCACACTGACTGCCTTTTTTTCTTCTGAAAATAAAGTCAGCAAAATACTGGATATAAAAAAGTGCCACCACTCCACTTTCCCTAGAAATAAACACTGTTAACAGATTGGCATTAACCTTTTTTTGTTCTGCTCTATGTTCTACAAATGCATCTACATATGAATTTGGGTTCATTTTGAAACATGGGGTTGTGCTCTGGGTATTGCATTTAGTTAAGCAAATTGGATATTTTTAAAAACAATTGTCTCATTTCTATTCTGATGGTTAAATAATATTCCACACTGAGCATTTATTTCTAATTTGTAGACATTGACTTACTAAAGGATTTTTGTGGTTTTCAGTTATCTGATGCTAGAACAGTAATATACAGTGAATCATCTTATACATATCTCTCAGGCTTAGGTGAAATTTTAGAATCCAAAAAGTTATAAAATGAGAGGATCAGTGCAAATGCACATTTATTATTTATTATTTTCTAATTTAAATTCTTTGTTGTTTAAAACATTACATGAGGCTCCTTTTTCCCCCATTGACCTTTTCCCTGGCTGCTCCCACCCCCCAGCACATGCCTCACCCCCCTACTGTCTGTGTCAATTGGTTATGCTCATATGCATGCATACAAGTTCTTTGGTTGATTTCTTACCCCCTCATCCTCCACCTTCCCTCATAGGTTGGACAGTCTGTTTGATGCTTCTATGTCTCTGGTTCTATTTTGTTCATTAATTTATATTGTTCATTATATTCCACAAATGAGTGAGATCATGTGATATTTATCTTTCTCTGACTGGCTTATTTCAGAGCGAATGCACATTTAAAGATTTGCCCCATGCCCATATCTGCATATCCTTAAGAATCTCACTGGATTTTATCAGTCTTGAAATTTTCGGACTGACCCTTTTGCCCTTTCTTTTTTAAAGGCCACCGTTTGAGGGTTGTCAATATGAATCAACAGAGTGACACTGCAGACTTGCTTGGAGGGTAAGTGCGGCTTAAAATTGTTTTCTTATTTTGTGTTCCCTGCTTGAGGTAGGAAATACTGTTCTCTTACGAAGCTCAAAGCTAGCTTTGGAAAAATGTTTGAAGTCTTCCACCCCTACCCTTGCTTTTCCCTGCAGGGTAGTTATTGGAATTTATTGAGGCGTTCTTCTGTAGATCGATGTTTCTCTGCAGTTTAAAGAACACTTGAGTTCTGATTCTCGAAGATTATGCTGAAAGTGGGAGGGAGAAAAGGAGATAAGCATATAATAAACTAATATTTTTGTGTGCAATTGCTTATTCAAAATGTATGTTTTTATTGATTTTTAGAGAGAGAGAGGAAGGGAGAGGGATAGAAACATCAAAGAGAAACAGTATTCGGCTGTCCTCTATATGCCCCCCTACTGGGGACTGAGCCTGCAACCCGGGCATGTGCCATGACCGGGAATCGAACCTGTGACTTCTTGGCTCATGGGTTTATGCTCAACCACTGAACCACACCAGCCAGGCGCAAGTAGTTTAACCCCTTCCCCGGCAGAAACTTGTATACTCGTTTTCACAAAATGTTCTTTTTCAGTCGTCGACGAGTATACTAAGAAAATATGGTAAAAAAATATGGTTTATAGGAAGACGAGTTACAAACTGTTTTCATAACCAGCATCAAAAATACTATATAGAACCAAAATAAAAAAATTAGTCTGAAAAAGAACCGTTTTTAACAAAAAAATTGTTGGGGAAGGGGTTAAATGTAGCAAGTACATGGGAGCTCATTTGTGCCCTTATCCAATTGATCATACAAAAGATTGGGATCAGTGTGATAATTGGAATTTTGTTTTGGTGCTAACTTGATGAAAATAATATCCATTTTTTCTTGGTATTAGGTTAGCATCAGTTATCAAAAGAAAACTTACGTACATGCACTTGGAGAATTTGGTTGTTAAGAATGCCAACTGGGTTAATACAGATAAAGGATTCAGTTTAGTATCTGGCACATGAGTGCCACATATCAGTTTTATTTTTAAAAAAATTTAAAGAGTTAGCTGTCATAATCATTACAACTATTCGTTGATTCAGTGTATTGAATTTGTAAATGAAAGAAGTGGCTTACTGTTTCAAATTAGACTGAACTCCTTAAGAGAAATGTCCATTCGTTTAAAGCTGAACACAGTGGCTGAAACACTTAATACATATTTCAAGTGATTAAAAATGAGCAATCATACATACATTTCACAAAAGAAAAAACAAAAATGAACTATAACAGATACCTACTCAATGGGAACCAACCTAACACCTGGGCGAGCTGGTGATTCAAACTATGAACCATTATACAGCAGGATTCCCAAAGTGTCTGGCTGGTGTGGCTCAGTTGATTGAGCATCATCTGTGCACCAAAAGGTCATTGGTTTGATTCCTGGTCAGGGCACATATACAGGTTGTGGGTCGATCCCTGGTCAGGGTGCGTATGGGCGATCAATGTTTCTCTCACATCGATGTCTCTGTCTCTCTCTATTTCTCTTCATTCCTCCCTCCCTCTCCCTTCCTCTTTCTTTAAAAAAATAAATAAAAATATTTTTTAAAAGAATAAATACTGTGGAATAAAATGTTGAGCTGTGGAAGGTCACAAACCATTGCAACATTTAAGTTTCTTTTGCCTATATTTATCTCTTGGGAGCAGAACCTTTCCTCCCTCAATTGAGAAGGCATGAACTGAGTTTATTCTGCTTATGTAAATCAGTTTCAGATATTGTTGTATTTTTTTTCTAAAATATCCTGAAAAGTTTTTGGTTGATCTTAATAAGTTTTTATCATTGAGTTCTATAAATCAGCAGTTTCCAACTTGTGGTCCGCGGGGTCTGAAAGGTTGGCGACCGCTGGTTTAAGGAAGTCTTTGGATCAGTGGTCATCAACCAGTGGTCCTCACAAGGTCCTCACAAGGTCCGAAAGATTGGCGACTGCTGCGATAAGTGATGTTTATTTAAATGTTAGTAAAATAAATGACAGGCCTTTCAGTGCCCAACTATGAGTTTCAAAAATTTTAATAATGCTTTACTTTTAAACACGGTGCAGAAAATACATCATAATTTAAAACTTCAACATAGATTTTAAGTATTTTGGTATTATTCCTGATTTTGAGTAAATGAAATCTTAGACCTATTCCTATTTTCTGAGTTATGGTTTTTAAGTTCTATTTTCTTCAGTAGTTTTTCAATAACATTTACCATTTGTTTTAGTTACAAACCAGTGGACCACAAGCTTATTTGGCTACCCTTACGGGAGGCATTTGAGGAACTCTTTGTCCAGACATTTTCCAAGAAGCAAAACTTTACGTTCTTGGGGCACATTCAGACCTGTTACAGGCAGAAACGGTGGCAGGATCTCCTCAGACTAATGCAACATGTGCACAAATCGGCTGTCAACAAGGATGGAAAAGAGAGCGAAACCGGTAAGAATGTGACCTAGGCTACTAGTGAAAGGGCATGAGGCTGGGGCTTAATTAGCAGAATTAGAAGATTTGGGGAGAAGAGTGAAGCAGTGCAACTTGGAGTTCTCTAAGACTTAGGGCAAAAAAGACTAATTTTGAAGTATTGCTGCTCCCATGATTCTAGGCATGGATTCCCTAAGAATCATCAGATTTCTTTAAAAAAGGTTGTTTCCAAGAAGCTTAATTCCACAGCCAAGAGGCTTTTGGTAGCTTAGTTATCTTTTCTGTGGTTTCTCATCTATAAAATGGAAATAAGAGTACCTACTTCAAAGCGTTGCTGTGAAGGATGATAAATCAGTTAACTAGGCTGTTTCCAGATCTTAGCTATGGTGAATTGTGCTGCTGTGAACATAGGGGTGCATATATCCTTTCTGATTGGTGTTTCTGGTTTCTTGGGATATATTCCTAGAAGTGGGATCACAGGGTCAAATGGGAGTTCCATTTGCAGTTTTTTGAGGAAACTCCATACTGTCTTCCATAGTGGCTGCAGCAGTCTGCATTCCCACCAGCAGTGCACGAGTGTTCCTTTTTCTCCACATCCTCTCCACCGCTT